CAATTCGAATGTGTGGCTCGTACTTAATAGCCCAGTTTCTCGTTAGAAGTACTACTCTATTTTTTTATTAAATTCTCTGTGTAAATTTCGGGATATTGTAAGGTTCATATGCCTGCAGTTCCGTTGCTATTGTGCCGTAAATACTCCGCCATCTACATTTTCTTAGAACACATATTTAATGTAACTGTTCATATATTAAACATACATCGATTTTCCGATGTTGTTTCACCGAAACCCTTACAATATTTTTTTATTCCCACGAAAATGAACGCTTTAATTAGTTAATTAACAATTAAACCATAGAATTCCAGTAGCGTAGAGTTGTTACACTTACAAGTTTTCCGACGTTTTTGTTCGGTTTCAGATAAAGCCCGCAAATCCCGGCCTCTGTGCACGACAGAGACATTTCTTGTACATTCGAGTATAAACTCTTTAATTTTAAATTTTTTATGGTGAACTTATTTTAGTCTCGGTTAACTTTATATTTTTACACAATTGTTAAGTTATAAAAACTATAATAACAAGAAATATAAGTCAAAGTAACTGAAAATTATTCAAATATTGTAAAATATTGAAATAATTGAATGTTTCTTTTTGAATAATTACCATGACGTGATTGGGAATCGAATATCGAATGTACAATCAACGAAATCATCAAAAGAACTGAAACGCAATATACCAATTTCAGCTGGTGTTGGCATTACAAAATCATTTGCTAATTTTTTTGATTTCTTCTTACGTTTCGATTTTTCCACCATATTATTTTTTTAGAATTTTATTTTAATAACAAATAAATGAATTTCAAATGTCACTTTAATATTTTCTCAGCAAATAAAATCGAGTTAAAATCACTTTTAACATTGAAAATGCTATGAAATTAATTAGTGAATTAAAAAAATTTATGTGATATTCGTATTTCCACAATATTGTTCTATATATATATAAAATCACAAAGGATAATTATTAAAATATCCTTTTCTCTTTTTTCATTATTACTCACTCACTTTTTTTTTACAAAGCAGCTCTATATTTGAATGGCGTGCTCACAAATAAAAAAAACATTGGTCTGAATTGGTGAGAAATCAAATTAAATTTTAATTTGACTTTGTTAATGACTTGCTGCTTTTTGAATTTGTTAACGATTTTAGTGAAATTATCGTAATAAAAAAACAAAAAAGTTTTGTCATAATTACTACACCATGACATTTTTAATTCGCGAATGATTTGTTAAGTATTTTCGAACGTGGGTGATAATTACAACAGAATACAAAAGGATTAAACTTTTAATTTCATTGGAATTTAAAGAAATCACAAAAAAAAAAATTTACGAAAAATTTTAGAAAATTTTCAAATTCACTTTTAGCTTTTAGATTTGTTTTAGTTGACTTCGGTGGAAATCATTCTGGTGACTAAATTGGGAAAAAATAAAATTAATATTTTTCTCTGACAATATCAAATTTCTATTTTGTAAGTTTTAATAAGAAATAAATTGGAAAATTTTTAATCAAAAATTTATTTTTACCTTCAACCCTCAATTCCTCCTCTATTTATTTCTTTGTAACCACTAATAATATTCTTGGGTGACTTATGTGCATTCAAACTATCACATGAGTAACGTGACATGCCGTGAAAATATATGGGGTTGCACTTAATATTTTGTTATTTTTATTAGTTTTCCATTTAAAGATTTTTATTTTAAATCAAATAAATTGCTGAAATTTCAAATGCTTTTGTATATTAAAAACATGAATACATAAAATATTAAGGTCGCTGGCTCAATAAACTAACTCCCTTATAACCTCATATGTGTGTTTTATTTGACAATATATCTAGTTAAAAAATAATTTCATTTTTATTTTATTGAAATTTTCATATTCTTTATAGAATTCATGAATTTTTATAACACGCGTGTATACGTTACATCTTAACAGTTAAATGTTAAAGTAAATGATTTTGTTTAAAACTTAAAAATATACATGATGTGGCGAGCACATGGTCGACCGCATATAGTATGTATTTTCCAAATGATACTAACATGTGTTTATCCAAATAAATCAACTTATCTACATATTATTATCTTATTTATTTAAAATTGAAATAGGATATTAGGCAATTTTAAGACTTTTGGGCATTAAGGACATGAAGTTGCTCCTTTACACTTTTGTGTTAAGGTGAAGAAGATAGTGTGACCTTACTTTGCAAATCTGCCTGAAAGCCCTTCCCCTTGCGTTCAGGGTAGGTAGAAGGCCTTTCGCGTCCTGGGTAAAAAGTGGTTGGTTGTCTTGTCCGAAGGGGAATGGTAACTTCTTCGATTGGGCTGGAGCTCAATGAATACTTGAGAGGGACGGACCAAGGTCGATTATTGGAACAATTGCTCGAGCTTATTTCACTGCAAAAAAAATTATGTCACCCTTAGGACCGAGAAGGGGATAAGAACTACAAAAGATCCTATAGACCGAGAAGAACCTATGCTAATATGCGATCGAAATACTATTCTTATTATTTGTGTAGTTGGTAGTAATAAATAAAATTATTCGCTTAAAGTAACTTTTAAAATGAAATTAAAGAAGTTCTATTAATTTATATTCGTGTCCAAAATGTATGTTTTGTAATATTTAAGGTAATAAAAATAGTAAGAACTAATAAAATTCTACTTAAAAACCACACAGAATAAAAAAAATCCGAAATTTATTTAACGATATCAATAAACGAATGAACTTTTGTGAGGATAACACATAAAAAGTATAATGCGGTGGGGTTTCTTAGTTGAAATTAGAAAATAAATAGGAAACATTTCCGTTTCGAGGGTGGTACTTTTTAAATAGAACAAAATTTGCATTTCGAAGTTTTGTCGAACATTAAGTTTTCTATGATGGAGGAAAGAAATAATTTTGAAAATATTTCGGCTCAGTTAAGTAATTCTGAACCGATTTGCAAGATTACACGTTATGTTCTTATGCAGTTCCGCTGTTAAATTAATATGAATAAGTTTGTTGGAACTTCCATAAATAACAATTAGAAATTTCAAAAAGCAGCCGGCTGTGTACTGAACGTGTTACATTTTTCTGTATAGTTAAGCAAATGTAAACCTTTAGGTTTTTATGTTCTTATCTAGGTATACTCTAACTTGCACCAAGGTGTTTCTTTTTATTTACATATGTTATTCTTATTCACTGTTTAATAAATATGAAATATCAAATATTCACTGTATACATATAAGGTTCTTTAAATCTTATCCACCGTAAATTTTCTCTTCTGCTTTTTTACTTCTTAATATAATTTAAAATAACCGTGTAGTATTTTTTATATCCTTTTTGACTTTATGTGTACATACATATGTATAGTATAGCATTACGCCCGAAGGGATACTATGTATATTTCATAATATTTTCATTCATAATAATAAGTTAAATATTATACAATCGACGGACACACAAATCTAAATGATCTTATGTACATAGTACGAGTAGCAGTATACGAGTGTATATGCAAAACGTGTGTATTTTATGAGAACGTATACTATTGTGAATAGAAAATAAAAATGTTACTTTAAAATGCAAAAATTGATTTCTATAGGGAGGACGATGAGGTTGTATTTCATTGATGACATTGATATTATTGATGTATTAAAGTAAATACTTGGTAAAGTACAATTACATAATATATTCTGCACATATAAATATACATATGTAGGTATACATGTTTGCCAATAAAATATTCTTTAAAGTTTGACACAAAAATTTAAAAGACAACGCTTATGGGGATCCTATGCTAAAGTATGTAACAACGGAAATTTTATAAAGCAGTGAAAATAAAATTTTCTTTAAGAAAACAGATGACTGGACAGTTTTAAAGAAGATCTAGCAAAAATTAGCAACTACTTTAAACAGAATAAACTAAGTTTAAACGTAAATAAAACAAAGACAATTAATAGAGTGTTGTAAAATCATCTAAAATTAATAATTAATATATTGAAATTGCGAAGGAGATCAAAAATTTGGATGTCATAATCGACGACAAACTAAATTTCATGGACCACATATACATATTTTATGTTAAGAAAGATTTCTAAGAAATTGAATTTTTTGTAGAGAGAAAAATCAATCATCGATTGTTTCTGTTAATATATTCTATACCATGGTAAAACCTCATTTCGAATACTGTTCTACTGTAATAGATTTTTCCTCCAATGAAATGCATAGCCGCTTAATAAGTAAAAAAATTCATATATGTATGTACGTACAACACATAATGCAATATGTAATACATAATTTTTCATACGAGTATTAAATTTCTGTGAAATAACGTTACGGTAAAATTAATAACTGTTATTCATGTACGTATATTTGTTATTTTAAGTATAACACCGTCGGTATAAAAATTTTCAATTTTTTAGCAAAGACCAGAACCTTTTAAATTTTCCAAAAGAAAATTTTACTGTGGTGAATAAATATAAAAGAACTTTAAATATTCAAAAATAAAAGGTGAAAATATAAAATTTTTCTTTTGTTTTTTAACATGCAAGTTCAATACTTTAATAATATTTATTATTCCTTATGTGGTTGATATTTTTTCAAATGATTTTTATAAAAAAATCGGAAATTTGAGTGCGTTAGACGTGGAATTTTAAAAAATTTTGTGTGTTCTATTTGTAATAAAAACAAGAACAGTTTAACTGTATAGTCTTAAGATTGTCGCAGGTGATTTTTAAAATTTTTTTAAGAAATTGAAGTAGTTTTAAAGGTTGGTATAAAGAAATGACTACAAAACAATAAAAAAGATGTATAATTATTACCGAGTGCATATTAATCGATTATGATTTTAACCTGAGTAAAATTTACGGAAAAATAATTATCTCTTCTACTGTCTAAGTTGATATTCTGACTTGTGCTTCTTCCAGCTAAATCAGCTATGTGTTTATTTCGGAAATTGTGTATAATTGTGACATAAAAGTATGCAAGTTAAAGGAAAACCTTAATTTAAAACTAAATATAACTAACTTGCATCCAATAATATCAACATATTCCTTTGGTATATCAATTTGAATATCATGAAATTTTCTTCTTTTTTTTGGCTTTTTGCAACCAATGGAAAAGCCAAGTTTTTTAGCATTTGAAATTTCACTTTTAGATTTTGAACTCTTAATTGGTGAACCAGATCTTTTTGAATCAGTTAATTTATTTTTAAATCCCAAATCATCCTTAGAATCTTTTTTATCATCAGCAACAAAACTATCACGCCTGGTGATTGGAACCGGTTTAAACATTTTAAGAATATCATTTTTATCTGCATATCCTTCATACGGTGTATATTTTTTACGTATATCATTTCCAGCTAATGTTTCAATAGTTGTCCAAACATTCATAAAGTTAACGGTGGCTTTTGTGAATTTTGAGCCATTGCTGAAATTTCCATCTTCTTCACCGGAACTCATTTTTTTATTAATTTAACAATTTTGTATTTTAGTTTAACTTTTAACAAATTAAAATTTTTTTTTGTAATTACTTCTTTTATTCACTGAGAAAAATTTTTCTAAGCCAATATTAATAATTTTTCACTTTTAACAATCCGTCAGATTGATATCCGTAAATATTTAATACTTCGATAACTATACAACTGAACTGTTTTAAGTCTTTTTTTGATGTAAAATTCGAAAAATATTTTTACTTTCAAAGAAATTGTATAGTGAAACTATTTTTGTCCTAGAAGTATGCACATATTTGTGTAAATACATGTGTTCATATCAATGATACGTGCTCTTCTTGGTCCCCCTCAACAACCCGTCAAGGTATTTTTCTATTCTAAAATTACATATTATCGCCCTATAAAAATCCATTACAATAAATGAGCTAAAAGATCGCGTTTCACTTGTTATTTCTAACCGGTATTTTTTTTAAATAAAAAGGTGTTCTAAAAAATCATAAAAATAAAATAAAGAAATGAATTTCATGTATGTATGCAGGTACTATGTAGGGGTAAATTCTAAAAACAGAAAGTAATATTTTATTGGATTTTTCCAAAGTTCGAAAACAATATTTTATTATTTTTGCTAAATTTAATTTATTATCATTATATAACCCTATTTAAGATTTAGTGTAAAAAAATGGACTTTCTCAAAAGTAAAAAAATTTGGGTATTTGAAATTTTTCAAATATTAAGAACTGGTCGATATTCAAACTGGGTGAGTGTTAATATTTTCCTTCTTTAATCTGAGTCGCATTCCCAGGGATTACCTCATGAATAGACTCAGAATCATAATAGAACAATTCAATGAGTAAAATAGTCCCCTTTCCTGCACCTTCGTCGATTTCGAGAGGGCACTCGGCAAAATAAAACATGAAGCTATTTAGAATGCGGTGCCCTATACAAGGGTATTGTAATAAACATACTGCAAAAAGAAGCTGCGTGAGTCGATCTCAGGTTTAACAACAACGAAACTAAATGACTGTTGTTCAGAAGTAAAGCTCTATGTTCTTCCGGAAATGAACAAAAGAGAAAAAAAAGGAAGAAAAATGATGTCAACTTCACACTTTGTGTCGATAAATGTAGGTAATAGTCTTTTCGTTTTCCTAGAATCATTTGAACCCCACTGTGTTTTTGCAGATGTACAAAATACAGAGCAAAAACGTGTGCGCGACTCTCCTGTTTTGAAGTGGCGGAAGCATAGCGGCTTTCTCATTTGATAGAATTTGGTCCTCCTTTTTGCAAGAGTACCCCGCTCTATGAGTTAAAATATTGCTATATTCCAAATAAACTGTTCAAATATATTATTTGTACGATTTGCGAGATAAAGGGTTAATATATTCTTAAAGTATATCAAACTATTTATGTATATTTATGTATATTTATTGTAAATGCGTATATTGAACAATCATAAATTGCATTATTATTTCTTGTTCTGTTTTTCACTTCTTTTACAATATAAAGAAAATCACTCAGAAATCTATTAACAACACTTTTTTTTTTGTAGTCACGAAAGGTGTTCATTTCACTTTTCAAAAAGAATTCTAAAAGTTTTGAAATTATTTTTGTTGTAATACACTTGAAAACTTTTTATATTTTTCTTTATAAAAGAAAGCCGGTCGTATTTCGTTTGAAAAATATATATTTCAAAAATACCACACATACACATACATATCTAATATAAAATGAGATTTTAATGTTCAACAATCAAGGTGCGAATTACAAAAACAATAAAGACAGGTAAATATAACTAATAAAATAAAAATGGAAAATCGAAGATTTGAAGAGCAAAAATATTTATTTGTCACGAAATGTGATATATTAAGGTCGTTTTCTAATCGTTTTTTAGTCCTAAAATAACACACTACGAATGAAACTTTTATTTTATTATAGAAATGAGGATAAAATAATATTTTCTTTAGTATTAATTTATAAAAGTGAGTATTGTTACAAAATATCGAAATATAAAATGTGGGCTTTGGTGGACACGCAATCTTTCGAAAATTTCTCCAAACTTCAAAGGATATTACAAGTAGATTTTTTAACACATCTTCTTTTCACCGCAATATTTTCTAGCATTTATTTGTAAAAACCAACAGGAAAATCAGGAGAATTGTTTGAGTTGTTTTAAGTCGCCATATTTGAGCATAACGTACATATATGACGTATGTCATTGTAGAAATACAGAAATTTGTAGATTGTAAATAAAAAAATTCTTGAAGTTGTAGAAACGGTAAGTCTACATAAACAGTATTTCATGCTGAGTTTATTAAACTAATATGATTTTAAATTTTACCGTTTGTCAAAATACAATTTTGCATTATGTGTAATTTCTTTTGGAAAATTGAATTCATACCCATATCGCTTATGTAGCAATCAAATTTCATCGAATAATGGTAACGATCTCAAGGATACACCTGATACTTCCATACATATGTATGTATGTATACAAAATATTAAAAGTTACAAATTGAAATATTGCATAAATTATACGAAGAATGATTGGATATTGATTGCATTTTCATTTTTATGACTGTATGTACGTTTATGTTTGTTCGGGAAATTAGTGTGTTGAGTTATAATTAAATTCTTTTTAAATTGTTATATTAGTGTGTTTATACTTTAATTTTAGAAAAATTTTGCTTTGATTTAGAAATTTAATACTATATATGACTTGTGTGTAAGCATATAAGTATACATATTTGTATACATTCAAATTCCATTCTTTCAAAACTAAAGTAGATACATATACCATATTAAATTATGTATGTATGTACTTACGCGATAAAAACGGGCGCATCTTCCCACCAGTTTTCAGCAGGTCGTTCCAAAAGTAGATTTATTTTTTTATAACTATTGTAATTAAGACGATTCTAAAAATGGAAAATATTTTGTTTGGAAGTACATATGTTCACATGTAAGTTTTATGTAAGTCGGAGTTCTTCATATACTCGTATGCACGTCTAAATGTTATTTTAACAATTTACCTTTCTATATTTAGCAGCCTTCATTTTTGTATTTACAATCATTTTTAGTTTGAAGATTTGTCAAAATTCTTGTTAAAAATTCTGATTATTAATAAAATAAATAAGAACATGTATTGGGGATTCATAAATATTTCTTTTACAACAAAAGTTTATAAATTTATTGAATAATATTTCAAAAATAATGTCAACTTCAAAATAAAAATAAAGAAAAAGCAAACTGTGTACGTTAATAAAATACTATGGGATTGGAAAATAAATGTATTTACAGTTCATAAACGACAGTTCTGCACTGCAGGATGTGGAACAGTATAGCAAGCACTTAATTTGGTTAAATTGCTCGTGAGGCTACGGAAGTAAACATAATAATTTCTCCACAAATAATTCTAAATATGTACTTAAAAATAAATTTTCAAAGGAAGAAACATTTGGTAAAAGACGTCCACCTGTAATGTACCAGTGCTCATCAATAAAGCAAGCTTGAAATATTATAATTGGAGCTGAATATCTTGCAAACACGCTTACCTCGACACAGGAAACGGAGATACTTGGATTTTATTAAAATACTCGTTCATGAGAAAAGTGCTTATTAGAAAGTGAATCACAGCTTTTATTAGAACTGGTTGAAAAAAAGCAGGTGAAATTCAAAGCGATGCTTAAAATGTTAACACCTTTTTTTTTTTAATTTACTTAAATTAATTAAAAGTTTTAAAATTAAAATAATAGATGAATGTGAAATCTTAAGGTGAAACAAGCCATTCAACAATAATTTCAGTATAACGGAATAAAAATATTTCAAAGAATTTTGCATTCAATTGTAACAACTTAATCTCATCTACAGTACGCAGGACTAGTTATCATCTTAACACATTCAAACCAGTCTCATTAATATTAATTATAATTAATCAGCAAGACTTATAGAGAAAGAAAACTAAAGACACCAAATACATTACAAAAATTTCATATTTTTTCATAGTTCAATCATTTTAATTTAAATTTATTTTAAATATGGCTGTACAATATTAAATTTTTTTTATTAAATAACCAATATTTCATAAGTAATTTTTATACTTAATAAACGAATTGCGTTTAACTATTACAATGCGGTTTAACTTTGAGAAAGAATGCAGGCACAGCATAATAAAATACAATTACAGTCAACAATATTTCGTATGTGCAAAATTCCGATTGATTACCACAGTATTTCGAAAGAACTTCATTATTACCCTTTAACAACACCCCCTTTCTCTTTAAAAAAAATAATTTTTTTAAATAATTATTTTTTTATTAGCAATTTCTAAGGGCAATACTTTTTCTTTTTAATTTGAAAAATTAAGTAAAATATTTTTTAACAATTTTTATAACATGAATTTATTGTAAAACAAAATTTGTATATGGGCTGGAGCGCACCCACTTTATTTATTATTTTTCAAAAACCTGAAACCATGAATGTACTAATATCAAAACCAAGAAAAAAATTATAAAGGAGTGTATAATAAATTTAAGAATTACATAAATTTAAATTATTTCTCGGAAGTAACAAAATATCAAAAAATGCTTTAAGAATCAAATATGCATAATTTCATCAAGTTTACATATCTAAGTTTTTTTTTTGCATTCCTGAAAATGAAAAATAAATAATTTTTTAAAAAATTTCTTGCTCTGTAAGTGCTAATATATAGGTTCTGTATAACATGAGTTATTAAAATAAACAAGATAAATTGCACTTAAAATCAATATAAATAGGGAAATTAACTTGGAAATAATAAATTTTATTGGAATTGGAATATCCCAATCAGTTAATGATAACCTCAGCATGGTGCAATTTAATTTTTATTTTGTTTTTTTTTTTGTTATTTTTTGGTTTACCATTTTATCAGGTTATTAAACATGCACTTTTGCATGATTAAATTACTTGTTATTATTACCTTTTCTTATAAACTATTATAGGAGTAATTGGTATATACTAGGTGTATAACAATATTTATAATACTTAGGTGGTGGTTTATACCTTTAAGCATGTTAAATATCGCTTCTTGT